TTCTCAGCCTGCCCAGTTATGGACTGGGGTGAAATCCAAGGTGCAAATGGGGACACGGGGCCAAGGGTGACATCAACACCCCCAAAAATCCCCATCCAAACCCCCAAAAACCCTGCAGGGGCTGGGAATTCATCAGTGCAATGAAGTGTGAACGGGCTCTGCCCAACCAGGGATTGAATGGGGGGGGTGCAAACCCGCCCTGGGGGGAGACAGGGGGTCAGGGGTGACACCAACACCCCAAAAAATGCCCCCAAATCCCCTAAAAATGAGCAGCGTCTGTGAACCCATCAGTGTAACAAAGTGTTGCCTGTTCTCAGCCTGCCCAGGGATGGAGTGGGGTGAAGTCTGGGGGTGCAAACCCACTGATGGTGGTCAAGGGAGACACCAACAATCCCAAAAATCCCCCCAGAACCCCCCAAAAAACAGTGGGAGTTGCCATCGGTGTGATGAAGTGTTGCCTGGTCTCAGCCCCCTGAGACACCCAGTGGGGGAAAATCTGGGGGTGCAAACCTGCCTGGGGGGGGGTGACACGGGGCCAGGGGAGACCCCAACCATGGGATCTGTGCCCATGGAGGCCCTGTATCATCCCATGGGGTCCCTGAACCCCCCCAGGGTCCCTGCATCCCTCCTATGGGGTCTGTGCCCTCCCCATGGATTCTCTGCATCCCCTTTTGGATCCCTGAACCCTCTGTGGGGTCCCAGAACCCTCCACAGGGTCCCAGAACTCCCCCACAGGGCCCATGAACTCCCTCTATGGGATCTCTGCACACCTCCTGTGGGGTCTGTGCCCTCCCCATCCCTGTATCCTCCCATGGGGTCTCTGAATCCCCCCAGAGGGACCCTAGGCCCTCTCTTTGTAGGGTCCGTGAACCCCTTCTGGGGTTCCACCATCAGGGGTCCCTGAATACCACCATGGGGTCCCAGAACCCCCTCCAAATGGTCCCTGACATCCCTGTAGGGTCCCAGAACCCTCTTTGGAGTCCTACCACCCTCCATGGGGTCCCAGAACCCCCCCCCAGGGCTCCTGACATCTCTGTAGGGTCCCAGAACCTGCTGTGGGATCCCACCATCAGGGGCCCATGAACCCCTTCAGAGGGTCCCTGACAACCCTATGGGATCCCAAAACCCCCTGTGGGGTCCCTGAACCCCCACATGGGGTCCCTGAACCCTCTATGGGGTCCCACCATCCGGGGTCCCTGAATACTCCCAGAGAGTCCCAGAACCCCCAAAAGGGTCCCTGACATCCTTGTAGGGTCCCAGAATCCTCTATGGGGTCCCACCATGAACCCCGTTCCCACCCCCAGGATCCCTGACACCCCTGTGGGATCCCAAACCCCCTGTGGGGTCCCACCATCGGGGGTCCCTGTGCACCCCTATAGGGTCCCTGTTCACCCCTATGGGATCCCTGAACCCCCACATGGGGTCCCAGAACCCTCTATGGGGTCCCACCATCAGGGGTCCATGAACACCCCCCTCCCAGGATCCCTGAACCCCCTGTGGGATCCCAAACCCCCTGTGGGGTTCCCCCTCCACCCCAATGGCTCCCGGGCCGTACCGAGGGTCTCGTGGTGCGCGGGGGTCGCGGCGGTCCCGGGGGCCCGGGGGGTCCGGGGGGTCCCGGCCAGCGCTGCCACCAGGGCGGTTTTCCCGACGCCGCTTCTTCCCACCAGGAACAGTTTGTAGGGCAGGGTGGGCACGGCCAGGGGGGGCGGCAGCGCCGGCCGCTCCAGCAGCCCTGGGGAGGGGGACGGCGGTTTTGGGGGTTTTTGGGGGTTTTTGGGGGGTTTTGGGGGGCTGAGCCCGGCGGGGCGGGGGTCTCACCGAACACCCGCCGCCGGTTCCGCTGCAGCAGCGACTCCAGGTAGGGGCGGCCGGGGGGCGACAGGAGCCAGCCCCGCTCCAGCGGGGAATCCCGCGGATCCCGGGAATCCCGCGGATCCTGGGAATCCTGCGGATCCTGGGAATCCCGCTCTGCCATGGGACCCCCCGCGCCTGCGGGACACGGAGGGGACCCCCCGTCCCCCAGGGGGGGTCACTGCACCCCGCGGCTCTGGGGGGCGGGGAGTCCCCTCTGACCCCCTCGGGGGCTCTGGGTCAGCCCAGGGGGGCCCTAAAAATTCTCTCGGGGTCCCTAAAACCACCTGTGGGGTCCCTGAACCCCCCATGGGGCCCCTAAAATTCCCTTGGGGTCCCTAAGCCCCCTATGGGGTCCCTAAATTCCCCTCTGGGATCCCGCTATCCTCCCATGGGGTCCCTAAAATCCCTGTGAGGTCCCTAAAACCGCCCCGTGGGGTCCCTGCACTCCCCTCTGAGGTCACTGCATCCTGCCATGGGGTCCCTAAAAATTCTCTTGGGGTCCCTAAAACCCCCCCTGGAGTCCCTAAAACCACCTTTGGGGTCCCTAAATCCCTCCATAGGGTCCCTAAACCCGCCATGGGGTCCCAGCATCCTCCCACGGGGTACCTAAAAGTTCCTTTGGGGTCTCTAAACCCGACCACGGGGTCACAAAAGCCCCCTCTGGGTCTCCAAACCCCCCTCGGGGGTCCCATCACCCTCCCAGGGGGTCCCCGCCCGCCCCGGGGTCTGTGCCCTCCTAACGGGCTCCGCCCCCCTCCCCAACATTTAAAAGGGGGTGATCGCAGCCCCCCTCTCCCTCCCCGCGCTCTGTGCCCCCCGAGCCCCCCCAATTCGTGTCCCCACCCCCCCAATTTCCCGGCGCGGTCCCTTTAAGACGCGGCCCCTCCGCTCACCGCCGCTTCCGCGTGACGTCACACACGGGGCGTGGCTAGAGCGAGACCGCGCCCCCCAACCGCGCATGCGCCGGGGATGGGCCGGGGCGGCACGTGGAGAGAGCCGACCCTGCTTCGGGATCCCCCGTTCCCAACACTGGCAGGTTTTGGGATCCCCATCCCCAAATTCCCGCCCCAACAGGCTTTGGGGTCTCTCAAATCTCAGCCCCCCCCCGGCTTTGGGATCCCCAGTTCCCAACCCTGACAGGTTTTTGAGTCCCCAGTTCCCAGATCCAGCAGACTTTGGGGTTCCATCCCCAATTTCCAATCCCAACAGGCTCTGAGGTCCCTAATTCCCAACACTGGCAGACTTTGAGGTTCCCATCCCCAAATCCCAGCCCTGACAGGCTTTAGGATCCCCAGCTCCCAAATTCCAGCCCCAACAGATTTTGGGATCCCCATCTCCAATTCCCAGCTTCAACAGGCTTTGGGGTCCCCAATTCTCCCAGGCTTTGGAGTCCTCCTCCCTAATTACTGACTCTGGAATGCTGTGGGGTCTAAAATTCCCCACACTGGCAGGGTTTGGGATCTGCAGTTTCCAGCCCCAGCAGGTTTTAGGATCCCCATCCCCAATTCCCAGCCCTGGCAGGCTTTGGGCCCCTGAGTTTCCAGTTCTCCCAGGAATTGTGGTCCCCATCCCCAATTCCCACCTCTAACAGGGCTGAGGGGGCCCCCAGTTCCCAACTCTGTCAGGCTTTGGGGCTCCCATCCTGTTTCCATGCCCAACAAGCCTTGGGGGCCCCAATTCCCACCTCCAGCAGGCTTTGGGGTCCCCAGTTTCCAACCCCAGTGGGCTTTGGGGTCCCCATTCCCAGTTTCCATCCCTGACAAGCTTTGGGATCTCTGGTTCCCAGTACTGCCCCCTTTTCCTGAACCCCCAACCCTGTTGCCTCCCTTTCCCCCCATTGCTCCTGGGACACATATTCCCCTTTTTTCACCCAAAAAGACCCCACATTCTCCCTTTTTCACCCCCAAACTTTCGGGAATGGCAGCAGGGAGTTCCCCTCCGTGTCATTCTCTCCCCAAAATCACCGACCATCCATTTCTTTTCCTTTTTTTTTTTTTATTTGTTAAACCGCTAAAAATTCCTCGGGATTGGGGGGGGAGGGACCCCCACGAACCCCCCAAAAATGTACAGAAGGTTTTAAATATCACCGGAATCGCTTCCCGTTCCTGCAGTCGGGAATGACGGCGGGGGGACACCTGAGTCGCGGGGGGGGCACCTCGCTCACAGCACCAGCGGCTCCCGGGGGATCCAGGGATCAAAGTTTGGGAGGAATTCCTCGTTAAGGGCACAGAACATGCGTTTCCATGGCAGGGGTGGAGCAGGGACGGCCCCGGCTTGGTGGGATTTTCGGGATGTAAACATTGGGAAAACACCCCTCCAGGGGTGCCCCGCGTAGGGAGAAGGAATCAACGCTCCATCCATCCCTTTCTTTTTTTGGGATGGATGACCAAAAACATGCAAAGGGGGGTGGGAATCGCTGCCGAAGCCCCGACCGCCTTCCCAGAGGGAATATTTCACAGCTCACCCTTGGTGCTCCTGAGGTTTCTGGTTTTTTTGGGACAGGGACAATTTTGCTTTTCCCTTGGGACAAATCATTTTGGGATGGACGGGAGAGGTCGGGTTGGACCAGGGGTTTATTTACAGAGGTGGCAACAGGGTGAAGCAAATCCCTCCCCATCCCCACACGGCTGGGATGGGATTTAAGGCTCCGACCGGCAAAAAGCTCAGTGGGAATGGAGGGAAACAAAAATCCTGGGAAGGAGGGACCACATCATGGCGCTGCCGGCTTGGGGAGGGCTCCCTGTTTTCGGGGTCCTGGAGGTTGTTGACCAAAACCTGGCAGAATCCACCTGTTTTTCCCACCCCCCGGAGGGGAAAGGGAAGGAGGGGGGTTGTCCCAGAAGGACGCACAGGTTCAATCCCTTGGGATTTGAATGGAATCCGTGTGGAAGGAGGCACGTGCAAAGATGAGGTGAAGTTGCTGCAGAGGCTGCTCACGCCCTCAAATTCACCAATATCCATCCTTTTCCCTGGAAAACCCACCCTGTCCCCAAGCTCCAAGGGGCTGGTTTGGCCTTGAATGGGTTTGGGATGTCGAGTGAAATGAACCCTTGAAGTCCAGAGGGGAATTGGCAGCCAAACGTCTCCATTTTGGGGAGATAAGTGGATTTTTAGGTGATCAGATGGGATCGGGGCCGATCCCGAAGCCTGATCCAGCATGGCAGGGAGAGGAGGGATGGGAACAATCAATATATTTGGCATTCTGACACAAAATCCTGTCCTTTCCTCCTTGTTTTGGCCCTGCCCAAGGACAGGGGCGAGAGCGGCAGGTGAGGCAAAAAAAAAGGCATCGTGTTTGTGTGGAGCAGGATTTCCCAGTGCTGGGCATTCCCAGGGGGATATTGCTGCTGTTCTCCTGACGGAGCCAGGCGTGGAATTCACCCGGCTCCTTCCTCCTGCCTGCCAGAGTTTGGGTTGTTCCTACAAAACCAGGCTCACTCAAACCCCACGAGGCTCCCGAGGAGCTCTGGAGGGGTTTCGGAGGGACGAAGCCTCCCAAACCCTTGGAAAATCAACCTCATGGGGGTCCCGGATGGCAGAATTCCATCCACCCCGAATCCCTGGGGTCCTTCCGCCACCGGCTTCACTGGGGTCTGACTGGGCAGCGCTGGAGGCTTTGCTCGGACTTTTATTGGTTTCCTGCTCCCTAATTCACAGTTTGGTCGCTGTGTGACGGGATGGGGGCCGGGAAGGACCGGGAAGAGCCGCGGGAAGGGGGAGGACGGGGGTGGCGGCGGGCTGGGGCCGCATTATCTCTTTGCTCGCACAAAGTACAAGGCATTTGTTTTGGGGTAGTATTTGACGTTCTGTTTCCTGTCCATGAGGCCGCCGAAGATGATGAGCTCGCCCCTGCCCTGCACCACCGTGTGCAGACTGGTCTCGGGGGGTCCCACCACGGAGCTGCTGTTGAACACTTTCCACTTGACCCTGCCCCGCTCCTTGGTGTCCTTAATGTCCAGCACGTACATCTGCATGGGCTTGCAGTTCATGCTCTGGTACAGGGGCTTGCCCACGTTCAGGGACTGGGGCGGGTGGTGGCCGAGGCGCCGGGCGATGGGCGGCAGGGAGTGCCCGTCCCCCTGGGCCGCGCCCGCCCGCGCCGGCTCCGCGCCGGGGGAGCCCGGGGACGACACCGGGGGGGGACTGAGCGCCGAGGAGGCCGAGGCGGCTTTGGAGGCCAAGGCCTTGACGGCCTCCAGGCTGCGGCGGAGCGCGCCGGGGGACACGGGCAGGGAGCCGGGGGACAGGGGCAGGGAGCCGGGCGCGGGCGGGGGGCTGTGCAGGCCGTTAGTGTGCTCGGGGGGGATCCGCGCGCCCGCCGTCCTGCCCTCGGCGCCGTCCAGGGGCTTGTGCTCCCAGCCCGGCTCGGCGGCGCCCAGGCGCAGCTCCCCGTGCTCCGGCAGCGAGCCCCGGCGCGGCCCAGGCCCCACGCGCGGGTCGAGGCCCTCGGCGGCCGAGGGGGTGCCGGGGGACAGCGCCTGCCCCGGGCTGTCCGGGGGGGCTCCGGGGGACGCGCCGTCCCCGTTGAGCACGGGGGAGCCGTCCCCCCTGGCCGGGGACAGGCTGCCCTCGCGGGAGCCCGCCGGCGTGTGCCGCTGCGCCCGCGGGCGCAGGGTGCCCCAGCGGCCGTTCACGCAGGGAGCCTCGTCCGTGCTCCTCACCGGGGACTGCGAGCGGTATTCCCGCGACTCCGGCACCAGGGCGGGCGGTGTGGCGCTGATGGGCGACGGGCGCGAGTTGAGGCTGGGGCTGAGCGGGGCCCTCCCGCTGGGGGCTTGGCTGAACACCACCACACACTGCCCCACCTGCCGAGAGAGGAGACGGGTCACCGACACCGCGAGGAGCCTCTGCACCGCGAAACCAGGGGCTGGGGAGCGGGCTGGGCAGGGAGCACGGGGCGGGATTTAGGAGCCCAGGTTCAGATTTTGGAGCCTGTGTTGGGATTTAGGAGCCCGGGTTCAGATTTTGGAGCCTGTGTCGGGATTTAGGAGCCCGGGTTGGGACTCAGGAGCCTGGGCTGAGATTCAGGAGCCCAGTTTGAGATTTAGGAGTCTGGGTTGGGATCTGGGAGCCCAGGCTGGAATTCAGGAGCCCAGGCTGAGATTCAGGAGCCCAGTGTGATATTTAAAGAGTTCAGGTTGGTATTTAGGAGCCTGGGTTGGGATTTAGGAGCCTGGGTTCAGATTTAGGAGCCCACTTTGCTGCTGAGATCACGCCCCCTGGATGATGGTGGGTGTGATCGGTGCTTTGTTCCCTGGCCAGGGAATGTGGCCCAAGGGCAGCAGGAGGAGGGGCTGTGTGGGGGCAGGGACCCCGCCGTGCCCGTACCCTGCAGGCAGGATGGCACCACAGCTCCGGCGCTCCGTGGTCCTCGTTCTCCACCTTGAGCGGCTGCCACGTCCAGGGGTTGGCCTGCATGTGCAGCAGCCACGCGTCCTTGAAGAGCTGCGAGGGAAGAGGGCATGATTAGGAGCCTGGGGCGAGACTCAGGTGCCCAGGCTGAGAATTAGGAGCCCAGGCTGGGATTTAGGATCCCACGTTGGGATTTAGGAG